ATCCCTACTCATCATCCACTTATATATTTGGGCACCCAAAATTTTATAGTAGCTTATATTACCCATAGTAATATGAAAAAAAGTGCTCATATTACCCAGGCCTCTTAGTAATATGAACACTTTATATTAGCTCATAAAAATAACATTAATTAACTAAAAAAAATACTAACATGACAATTAGGACAAAGTCTTAGAATATAATGATTCGTTATTAACAAAACTAATCATTAAAAGATCAAGTTTTAAGCCACTTTTTGTTGAAACAATATTACTATGCTTCTCGCAACAACAACAACAACAAAAAATTAGTTCGTTATTTTTTCAATTTTATTAACTAATGAACGATAAAAATTATTAAATAAATTAACGATAAATTAACATTGAACGATAAAAATTTAAATTTTTTCAATTTAAATAACAGAAAAATATTGAGTTAAAATATTAAAATTTTTTACTATGTTTTGTTTTTGTTTAAAAAGCAATTAAAACCACTGCTATTTAAGGATTTTAAACTAGATAATTTTAATGAAAAAAGCTGGGTAATTTGAACATGCTCATATTTAAAAAAATGGTATCTTCAAGTCAAAACTAAGTTTCTATGCATTGTTTTTCAAACAAAAATGGATTGCAATTTTAGCTAACATATTTTTCTTTACAAACTAATTTCATTATTTTAGCATCAAATTTCGCACCACAGATTATTTTAACAATGCACAGCGTTTTAATTTGATGATAGCCGATAAGTACTGCATATAAATTTTTGATTATTGTACTGATTCCTGTTATCACCGCATAAAGTTGATTCGAAAAATACAAAGCAATTTTAACTTCACTGCCTACATCTAAGAAATCTTTAATTATGCTCATATTACCAAGGTGCTCATATTACCGTAATCTACTAATAAAAAAAGTTAGATCTTACCGTCAGAAACTATAGAAGCGCAAATATTAAATAAATACAATATACGAATATATTTACAAAGTAAATACAGTAAAACATCTTTATAAATAAGAAAAAAAATATACAGTCACACAATTACAGGGTTATTCATTCTTATATGTGCGTCTATTCATTTTTATATGCGCCTTTATTCATTCTTATATGCGCATTTATTCATTTTTATATGCGCCTTAATTCATTCTTATAAGCGTTTTACAAAAGCAATTGTAAAAAAGCAATTTGAACAAAAAAAAAAAAAAAAAAAAAAAAAATCATTTAAGCAATTTGTTTTGAAAAAACAGTTTATTTTTTCAAAACAAATTTTTCTAATTTTCAGGTAAACGAGGTTAGAAATACTTAAAACGATGACTTTTTACATTCGATGATGGTTTATTTGATTTAGTATTAGTTCTTTGTAATTTTATTAATAAATTTCTTGATTGATTAAGCACATTAAGTCCAGTTTCATCCAAATAAATAAGTTTTTTATCTGAAATTCCGTTTATTTCGCTTGCAAATGCATAGCGTGCATTAATAACTGGTGTTAAGTTTCGTTCTTGGGCACATGAACAACACGTTTTCTTGATAAATCCGAGCGTTTGAGTTTTCTTGAAATAGCAGGCTGAGACATGTCGAAGCCTGTTGCAGAAAGATTTTTTTAAATTGCTTCTTGCGTGCAAAGATTGTTTTCTTGTGCGCATAATTCGATAATATTTTTTTATTTGAGAGTTTATAGGTCTTTTACCCCGTTTTTTATCAGAAAACGACTTGAATGCAGTCATGTCGTAACATTTTTCCTTGTTTTACGATTGGTACTGCTATTTTCTATTCCATCCATAGGGATGTATAATTTGTATATTAATAATAATCATAAATAATTAGATTTAAATCTAGATGAATGAATAATTAGATAAATAATAACTTAATCAATCAAGAAATTTAATAATAAAATTACAAAGAACTAATACTAAATTAAATAAACTATCATCAAAAACAAAGAACTAAGACTAAATTACAGGGTTATTCATTCTTATATGCGCATTTATTCATTTTTATATGCGCATTTATTCATTCTTATATGCGCATTTATTCATTCTTATATGCGCATATATTCATTTTTATATGCGCCTTTATTCATTCTAACGTGCGTTTTACGAAAAAAGCAATTTGAACAAAAAAAAAATCATTTAAGCAATTTGTTTTGAAAAAACAGTTTATTTTTTCAAAACAAATTTTTCTTATTTCCAGGTAAACGAGATTAAAAATACTTAAAACGACGGCTTTTTACATTCGACGATGGTTTATTTAATTTAGTATTAGTTCTTTGTTTTCGATGATAGTTTGTTTAATTTAGTATTAGTTCTCTGTAATTTTATTATTAAATTTCTTGATTGATTAAGTTGTTATTTATCTAATTATTCATTTATCTAGGTTTAAATTTAATTATTTATAATTATAATTAATATCAAATTATACAACCCAATGGATGGAATAGAAAATAGCAGTACCAATCGAAAAATGTTACAAAAGAGCACATTAAAATGCTTAAGCATTTAATTGAAAGAAATCAATCTACAACAAGCATTTCCACTTCTCTTAATTTATCACAGCGCACAGTTCAAAATTTTGTCGTTAAGTTAAACAGAAGATAATTCGACGATATGACTGCATTTAAGTCGTTTTCTGATAAAAAACGAGGTAAAAGACCTATAAATTCTCAAATAAAAA